TACCACTTGAGCTACAGCGCCACTTCCGGTTTTCTGGTGGTTTATTGGAGATAGGAGTCTCACGGTCTTTCCTGCCCGGGCTGGCTTTGAACCATGATCCTCAGATCTCAGCCTCCTGAGTAGCTAGGATTACAGGCGTGAGCCACCAGCGCCCGGCTTGAGTTGAAACTCTTACAAACAATGCAACACCCAAATGATTGCGAATTTGTACAATCCTCAGTCACTGGGCCTCTAGGAGTCTAAATTTCATAAACTCCAGACTCCAAATCCCATGGCACCTTTGTCACAGTCACATGAAGTCGCCAAGAGATTCGGGCGGACTGAGCCTCCACGGATGCCAGATCTTCGTCCACCTTCCCCTAGGAAAGATAAGGGTGGGGAGGGGGCGGGAAATCATTTCGCAGTGGAGCCCTGACACGACGGAACTAAACAGACTTGAACATTGCTTCCCACTCGGACCAGACAGCCTGGGATTACCACGAATGAAGTGCCGCTTTTGCAGACAATTCGTTCCTGGCCGCGGAGGCCTCTGGGAAATGTAGTCTCGAGGAAGAAAGCGACGGACCTTTTCCATTCTTCCGGGTACCAAGTTGTTCAGGTCCTCGGGCTGACCTCTTCAGAAAAGCCTTGGGCTTATCCTTCCGTGCAGACTGGTGCACCTAAACCGCCACCGGACCGGGGATGTGTGTGTGTGTGTGTGTGTGTGTGTGTGTGGTGGGGGAAAGGCCCGTATTCCCACGTCTAGCCCATTGGCTGGTCCTGCTAGGAAGCAACCGCGGGGCATTCTGGGAAACGTTGCCTCACGCCTAACTGTCCGACGCTTCTGCTGCCTCAGCCCCAGGCCGAGGGGTCCTGGGCGCCGCCCGACTGCAGCTGTACGGGCTGTGTGCCTCGGGCGGGGATGCGCTGTGGAATCGGGACCTGTGTCTGATGGTGAGTTCTCCGGGCGCCACCCGCTCCGAACCTGGGACTCTCTGTGTTCAGTGGAGGTGGAGGCCTGGGGACCCACCGCAGGGTTGGGTGCGGAGGACAGACTAGGAGTGCTCCACGGATGTGGACGGGTCCTAGAGGGTGGCGGGCGTAGTTTGTGTTGGTGTGGGATCTAATTTGCACGTTCCTTTTTGTTTTGTTGTGAATATGGGCGCGATAATGAATGAGAGACTGAAGATAGAAGGCACGGCAGGGTAATAATATGTTTCAGGCTGTGTTTGAACGAGTGCTGCATGTATTCCTTACGTAATTAAAAGTATGTTTTCATATGATACATCCGTAGTCCTAAGACATGAATATTTGCTTACTCTTAGCTTTATTTTCGTGTTAGCAAGTTATATATGCATGTGTAATTGACTGTTCTTGTTCCCCATCCCATTGCCGAAATCGAAAAATACAGAAAGGCTAAAAGAGCAAACATTCATAATTCTACGCGCCATACAACTATTATCAAAATTTAATATCCTTAGCCGGATGCCAGCGGTTTATGCTTGTAATCCTAGTTGCTCAGGAGGAAATCTGAGGATCGTGATTCAAAGCTAGCCATGGCAGAAAAGTGTGTGAGACCCTTATTGCCAATGAATCGCTAAAATGCTGCTGTGGAACTGCGGTTCAAGTGGAAGAGCGCTAGCCTTGAGGGATGGGGGGAACTAAGGGACAGTATCCAGGCTCAGTTCAAACCCTAATCAGCACAACAAAACACTATACTTGCGGGTGGGAAGGTGGCTCAGTGGTAGAGCGCTTGCCTTGCATGCCTGAGGCCCTGGGTTCAATTCCTCAGCACCACATAAGCAAAAAGAAAAAAGCCGGAA